GGGGGGGGCGGCGGAGGTGGACCCAGGAGAATTACACTCTTGAAGTGTCCATTTCCCAAATGGCCTGCATTTTAGAATGCAGTGATATTGGACATTGGAGAGGTAAGTGTTTACATTGTGCTTATTGCAGGGTATTTGACACTTATAAAATTAATGACAGGGTCACTTTAACTAGGCATGCATCAACATCGGTATTGGTGCCGATACCGCCATTTAAAATTTTTAAACAGAAGCGGCTGCCTGAAGAATTCCTGTGAACCGCGGTGCCTGCTCACAACGCTGGCCACACATCTCCTCATCCTTCCTGGGGAACTCTGCCGCCCGCACCCATGTTGTGAGACCCCGCACAGCCCTCCTGAGACCCTGAAGACAGGCCGCTACTCTGGAGCAACACAGAGTATACCTATTATTCTGCACTGCTGTATAATGTATCACTGGGATTTGTAGTCCTCTATAGCTGATGGTATTCTGTATTGCTGAGATTTGTAGTCCTCTATAGCTGATGGTATTCTGCATTGCTGTATAATGTATTGCTGAGATTTGTAGTCCCTCTATAGCTGATGGTATTCTGCATTGCTGTATAATGTATTGCTGAGATTTGTAGTCCCTCTATAGCCGGTGCCATTCTGCATTGCTGTATAATGTATTGCTGGGACTTGTAGGCCCCCTACTGCTTGCAGTCAGTGGCAGAACTACTAGAATTGCAGTCTTGACCAGGCCCTGGCGCGCCACCACTGTCCAAAAATTATTAGTCTCTATTTTTTTTAGAAAAAGTGTCGTGACCCTAAAAAAAAAAAAAAAAAAAAGGTATCGGTAATTGGTATCGGCGAGTACTTGGTATCGGTACTTGGTCTGAAAAAAATGGTAATATCTTTAAACAACATAAAAACAATTACATTTTTCTAAAAAAAAAAAAAGGACCTAAAGGTCCACTCTGTAGATCAGGGGTAGCCAAACTTCGGCCCTCCAGCTGTGGTGAAACTAGAAATCCCATGAGGCATCTCTCTTCGGGAGTCATAGCTGTGGGAATCTTGCAATGCCTCATGGGATTTGTAGTTCCACCACAGCTAGAGGGCCAGCGTTTGGCTACCCCTGCCCTAGGGTAACAAAAAAAAGGCCTGGCACCCAGATCTGTGGAACTTTTTTAAAATGCATAAATGTAATTTTTATCTTTTGCATCTTCTTTTCTACTAGATTGTACTGGACGAGGGTGGATATGAGCCGATCTGCCGAGAGAGGAGGTGGTCACGAGTGGCACAGCGAATGGCATATCCCTCAGGAAAGAACATCGGCTCCCTTTTGAGATCCCATTATGAACGCATCATATACCCTTTCCACATGTACCAGTCTGGAGCAAACTTGGCGGTAAGAGTCCATTTTAAATGGCCATTTTTGCAGTTGAAACGCCTTAATCCATATGATGGCTTCATCCATTTTTTTCTCTTGCTTGGGTCCGTCCTAGGATTGTGGTGAGCGGCCTCGTTATGACAACGAAGAGAAGGATAAGGAGTACAAACCTCACAGTATTCCGTTGCGACAGTCCGTGCAGCCTTCAAAAACCACCAGCTACGGGCGACGTGCGAAGCGCCTCACTCAGGAGGTAAGGGAGACCTGACTGGTTCCTCCTCATGCAGTGTTCCCATCACGCAGGTCTGCCATTGCTCACAAGTCCGTCGCAGTTATTGCTGAGCTGCAGATTTTGATATAACCGATTATTGATCCATTTGGCTTTCTAGGATGGTGTGTGAAGGAAGCCGGCCTTTCGGGAATGGATGTTTCTCACGCTTTTTTTTACCCCATGTTCTTGTCATTCCATGCAGGATCCTGACATCTCAGATCCTGCCTCTCAAAGCTCCTCTCTGCCCCCCGAAACATCACCACCCTGGGTATACAGCTCTGTTTTTTTTTGTTGTACTTTTTTACATTGTAATACTGCAGTCTGCTTTGACTTGCCAAAGTATGTATGATCCTTTTTGTGTGCTTTGTGGCTTTCTATTACATGCATATTAGATGTAATGCTGCATGCCAGGTTCTCTCTCTCTCTCTTCTGGACTGTAGTGTAACCTCTTCCTGGGTTTGTATTCTTCCATGTAGTGATATCCTTTGCTGGCCTCTTTTTGGATTTCTCTTTTGTTAACCTCTCTTGATTCTAAGCCTTTTTGAATACTGTTTTTGTTTTTTACTAATAACACTGTATTTCCAAATACCAGCCCTCAAGTACCAATATGTATTGCAGTTTTTGGGAATTGCCTAGCTGCATTTTGTTCAGGTATTATCAGACCTCCAAAGCAGTTTAGCCTAAAAGCACTTTATTGGTGCAAAAAGCACGTTCCCCATCTTTTTAAAGCGAGCCTGTGCTTTATGTATGGCAAAACAGGTTTATTTTAAAGCCCAGCTTGGGGCACAATTACCTTTTTTTTAAGAGGCTTAGAACAGCCAGAGATTGCTGATAGGCATACCTCTATGTCCTGCAAATCGGTTTACATGCCATGAGTAGTAGGGAGGCACTGATACTAGTATTGGTACCGATACCTAGTATTTGGGACGAATACTCTTACTCGCACAAATGCTCCGATACCTAATCTATACCGGAAATCCGGGCAGTGCCATAGGGGAACATGGAGCCGGTTTCCTGATTGCCCGGGAAGCCGACTCCATCCTGATCAGCATGGAGCCAGCTTCCCCCGCCAGTCAGGAAGCCAAGCTGCAAGTCATGACCCTACTCCCAACTTCCTGATTGATTGGCCGGGAAGCCGGCTACATGTTTGGTCGGGAAGCCGGTTTCACAGCCAAACAGCATGGAGCCGGCTTCCCAGCCAATCAGAAAGCCAGGCTGTAAGTCATTACCCTACTCCCGGCAGCATCGAGGCGGCTTCCCGGCCTATCGGGAGGCCGGTCTTTACTCGCCACCCAGCTTCCTGACTGGCCGGTTTCCCAGCCAATAAGTATCAAGCCGGCCAAACATAAAGGCGGCTTAAGCCTGATTGCCCGGAAAGCCGGCTCCATGCCAGCGGAAGCACTGGTATCGGTACTCTGTATCGGCGAGCACCGAAAGCAAAATATAGGTACTTGTACTCCGCACTGAAAAACCAGTACCTGTACATCCCTAATGAGTAGTAAAGCTCCCGCTGTATTTCCGGGGCGGCTCCGGATGTAAGCACTGCAGATATCAGAGTTTAAGGCTGTGGTCGGGTCTCCACCCCCCCCCTTCTCCCCCCCTCTCCTCCTTACCATTCACAAAACGGAGCCTGGGGCTGTATTTGCCATTTACAAAACGGAGCCTGGGGCAGGAATCTGTTCTATTTTCAGCTGGCAGGTTGAACAAAGAAAATAGACATGTATGCCCGACTTAAGTCACATGTCTCCCCATACCTAAAAGAACTCCAAACAGCCCACTAAAAAAAAAAAAAAAATCACATTGGCATGCGGCTCTACATTCTGATAGGAAATTATTTTACATTCGTTGGGCATGCATCTTTTAGACCCATGTCTAAGAGATGCATCCTGGGAAAGGGGACATCAGCAGTGCATTGCTGAGAAATCTCATCTGTAATCTGCAAAATCTTGCGAGATCTCGGTAAAAGATTAGGAAAGATGTGCGTGGTCAGGTGTCGTACTCGAAGGGCTATTGAAGTAAAGGGAGATGGATTAATCTGCCCTTACTAAAAATGGCCACTATGAGAAGAATGGGGAGGAAAACAGAAATAAGGTATGGAAAGAATAAAAAGCCTGCTGTATCCGAGAACCGTGGTTATCAGCTGGTGGGTCACGACCCAAAAGTGTTGCAACCCCGTGCTGAGTGGGTCGTTGTGTGCCTTCCACTGCGCTAGGTAAGAAGCTCCTCAGCCTCCCCCTAGCGCATCACTGTGAGTTCTCGCACTGGATAGCTATTCAAAATATGCTGCCCATCTACGAGTGTTAGCTCGAGGTGGGGTGGGCTTGGGGGTATGACCGCGAGGGCGCTCCATCCATACATGCATTGCTCACAGCTCCCTCGCATGCCCCGTAGAGGTGCCAGGACTGAAGTGACGCCACAATCTGCTTCCTGGCACCAGTACAGGGCGCACAAGGTTGAACTCGATGGACTTGTCTTTTTTTCTTTCAACCTGACTATGTAACGTTGGTGGTCCCTGAGGATTGGTTTTGGGAATACATTCCTTTAGTGTGTTCATGCCCTTTAACTTTTTTTTTTTTTTTTACTGTCTATTAATCATTCCTTTTGGGTGTTCTTTCCCTTTAATTTTTTTTTTTTTTTTTTACTGTCCTTCAAGCCTGAACCGACAGAAGAAGACATAGAGAAGAACCCAGAGCTAAAGAAACTTCAGATCTATGGCGCGGGGCCAAAAATGATGGGACTTGGTCTGATGGCAAAAGATAAAAACCTGCGTAAGAAAGGTAAGAATGGGAAAATGATTGGGGACGGACACTATGCCCAAACCTGAGCCGTTGGAGTTGATATGTGGTAGCGCTGGACTAGTAGGAGTTGGAATCGGTTTTGATGTAAAGCTGAAAAAATGGAGGACGTGCTCCTTGAGGAAGGTAACAGGTGATAACAGAATGTGTGTAGTGTATGGACCTGGTTATGGTCTAAGACTGCTGCCTCTCCGGTCTCAATAGGGGGGGGGGGGGGGGGGTTTACGAAATATC